GGCTTATACATGGTATCCACATACAGCTAACACGGTTTTTTAAAGCGTTCCTTGTCCTATGTCAGAGGAGTAGACAAGCTGGGGCTGGCGATGTAACACTGCTTCCTCACAGCGCTTTGGTCCCGGGTGTGATTCCAGACTGGGGCTCTTTCTGTGTGGAGTTTGCATGTTCTTCCAGAGTCCACATCCCATTTTCCCCAGTGTGTCAGTTTCTTCCCACCATCCAAAGACCTGCAGGGTGGATTTGGCGGGTGTGTGTGAGGTGAGTGCCCCAGTGATGGGCTGGCACCCTGTCTTGTCCCACCCTGAGTCCTGTGCTTTCAGAATGGGCTCTAAACAGCCGCACCCTCAACAGGAATCAGCAGCTTTCTGACAGTGGGCAGAGGTCATCGTAGAGCTCGAAGTTTCTTCTTTGTGTGTTTGTGTGGTCACTGTGTGGTCTTTTAAACACCCGAGTACAGCAGCCAGGAAAGCCTCTCAGCTGTTAAAGAAAGAACACAAGCTTCTGTCGAGAATTTCCGAAAAAGGACAAAGTTTTTATTTGTCATGGTACAACAGAAGAGAGCTCACGGTCCATTGTCTGCTGAGCCTGCATGGATTGGAGGTCACTTCCTCCTTGTGTCCTTTCTGTTTCACCGCTTGGCTTTAATAAAACATGCAAAAAGCTGGTTAAAATAATCGCCACGTCCCGAGGGGAGACGCCGCACGGGGGGTGACCGCGGCGTAGTCTCCGATACTACACAGGGCCCCCCCGAAAAGAAAGATCAGAAAAAAACAAGGGGAAAACTTCACCCCGCTACAGGGCAGCTGTACAAAACGGTGCAATTTTAAAGGACGGAGGACCTCCTCATTTCCTGTGCTGCCTTAACCACCTGTGAGCGGGGTCCCTTCGTCTGTCTTTGGACACTGTGCGGGGGGGGTCCAGTCCTGGTTCTGGACGGCCAGGCTGTCCACAGGCTGGGAGTGACCGGGGCAGGTCCAATCAAGTCACTAACGGGCAGATTGAGGTCGTTAAGATCTGACCCAGATTAAACCTGCAAATATCCCGGCTCTCCTGCAGGACCAGGACTGGTCTTTCCAGTCCACCATAGCAGCAGAATCTGAGTTCTTTGGTGAATGGGCGCCTTGCGTTTCGAACCCTTCCCTGTGCTCATTTCTGTCTTTCCTGGTCTTCCCTTTAAAAACAAAACAAGATCTCGAAAACATTTCTTCTTTTAGAAAGGAGCTGCATCGAGTTTCTCAGCTCGAAATCAGCAGAGTTCTGCCCGTTTTCAAAAGACCATTTTTTTTTCTTTCCAAAGACAAATCTTATTTGCTGAGTCTGAAATTCCACCCAGTACGCTGTGTTTTTGTGTGTTTGTGGATTTTAATAGACACCCACAAGTGGTCTTGCTTTTTCTACCAAGAAAAAAATACAGACCCAGCATTAAAAATAACTCCCAGGTCAGTGGCCTGCAAATTCAGAATCCGTCCCCATACTGCATCTATTTAGCAAGAGAAACCACACCCGCAGACAGAAATGTGAGCGCACCGTGCATAAACTCTGCTTGTGTTACTGCAGTGTAAGCAACCATGATGTCTCTTCCCCATCAGCAGATACCAGCTAGTGGTAGCCGAGACACCAGGGTGATTTAATCAAATCACTTTAACTGAACTGAATTCATTTTTAAAAAAAACATTGAGTGGGTGGCTCTGTGGCACAGTGGCCAGCATTGCTGCCTTGGAGGTGTGGGGCCCCGAGTCCAATTCTAGACCTGGGGTGCTGTCTGCATGGAGTCTGCATGTTTCCCCAGTGATCATGTGGGTTTTCTCCGGATGCCCCAGTTTCCCTCCCACAGTCCAAAGACATGCTGGTGGGTTAACTGCATTTTGGGGAAATTGGCCGTGGTGTGAGTGTGTGTGTGTGTGCCAGTGTGTGCCCTGCCATGGGCTGGCATTGGACGACTGCCTTGTGCCTGTTGCCTGCCAGGATGGGCCCCGGCTCGACCTCGTGACCCCGAATTGGAAGAAGGGGTTAGAAAGTGGAAGGATGATAGAAACCATTTAGGATGCAGGGTCCCAGTGCTAATGTCTGCAAGTGTATATAAAGTCACTAGGCCTCTAGAGAATCTAGAAACACTTTGGTATTTTTATTCCAGTACAGTATTTCATCTTGCATGGGCCTGTGGGTCCTGGCCGTTCTTGTACAGACCCCATAATGGGCCAGCAGGGAGGGTACACGCGTACCCCAGGGGTTCAGGGGTGACCAGTCAGTCCTGGTCCTGCAGGCCTGCTGTGTCCACAGGTTTTCAGGTCTCCTTAAAGCACCAGCACCTGGGGAGCTGGGGGCAGGTGTTTGCTTGGTCCGATTAAGACGGTCACAGCAGATTTCAGTTGTTTAGAGCCAGGCTGGAGTGAAAACCTGGACACAGCAGGGAAGACTGGGAGCTGCTCCTGGTGGCACCTCCGGTGAAGCCTGTCCATATCATCTCCTGGGAGGTTCCTATGGGATTTCTTCTGGACTCTCCGCCATCCCTCCCTCATGTAGATCCCATCACATGATCACAGTCTCTCAGCGCTAAACGTACAGTCTACCTCATCCCCAACCCTGTGAAAATGAGACCGCTGTCTCTGTGTGTGTGTGAAACAAAGGCTCCCCCACAAACACCCACACACCCACTCAGAAACCCTCACACCCACCCAGAAACCCAAATATCAACTCAGAATCCCACATATCCACTCAGACACCCTCACACCCACTCAAAAACCCCGACACACCCACTCAGAAACCCCCACTGTCCTCTCAGGGTGGCTTGGTCATTTGGCGAGATTACCAGATGAGGGGTTAGTACACGGCCTGGGGTAACAACACATATTCTGGGAGCTGTAGCTGTTCCAGGGATAGCTGTTCCCTGTTTCTGGGAAGACGCCTGTGGACGAAGAGGATTCTGCTCGGAAGTGTGGTGCGTGATGCTCTTCATCGAGCCCAGTGCGGATGGAAATGAGCCTTCCAGGGCTCCTTCAGAACACGAAGCTCTGGACTGCAGGATTCCCAGCCTTGAGACAGACAGTCATTTTATTAAGAAAAGAAGGCTTGCCTTTATGTGTCACAATGTGGAGGTAAACATTTGCTCCCTGTCTTCTGCGTGCAAGGTTCCTGGAGCAAAAGCGATTCTGGAGATTGTCATTCTTGGAAGGAGGCTTTCTGGCCTGTCCCTGGCAAGGGTGCGGTCCGTGTTAACAGTCTTTCCAGGGATCGCCTGGATAACCAGCAAGGAAGAGCCGGAAACAGGGTAGTCAAATAATGTGATTCCTGCTTTGTTTAAAAAAAGAGCTTTACCTGATTTAAAGACATGGCAATATCCGGGATCGATCCAGGCTATACTTGGGAAACATCAAGCATTTTCTGGGATCAATCTGGTCTTTCTCCATGAAATATTTTGGCTATATTCAGGCAACATCTGGGAAATTATACAGTTCATATGCAGGCCATATCTAGCTCCTACAACTTCTCCAAGACTTTGAAAGTCTTCCCTTCACTAGAAGGAGTTGCAGGTTTACATTCTGGCGATTAAAAAGGAAGAGAATGTCTGGGGCAAATCAGGCCCCTCACAGCCAGTCCCCCAAACCCCACAACGGGAACAAGGGCGCCCCTGAAGGGCCGGCCGAGGCGGGAGTGATAAGTTCTTGGTTTTTTTATGACATTCTTTAAAAAACGAGTTAATTCATGACGCGAGGAAGCGCTCCTGACGACAGCACCTCTGGAGGGAGCGATTTCAGTCTATAAGTCGTCCTCCGCCAGCTGTGCCAAGGGGCCCGTCCACTGGGTCGGCAGGGGACTGGGGGACAGGGCGCTGTCCCCCGCCTTCGTGTGGCACGTGTTGCCCCCTCTCTGTGGGGGAGAGAAGAGACAGAGGAAGAGCGCTCTTTCAGCACATCGTGCAGGTCTTCAGCTTCCTGTCGAGGCCTGGAGCAGCGCAGAGCACTCTCTAGAGCAGCAGCAGCAGCTCCACTCCTGGAGGAACACTGTCTACTCTGGGGTCTCAATCTCTTAATCACACGGATATTGATTTCAGGCTTTCATTTGTGGCAGATTTTTAAATGTGCTTTCGGCTCTTCTGTGCCTTTGTGATTGGTATGAAGGTGTGCTGCCTGAAGGTAACCAAACTGGCCTTCTGGAGAAGGAGAGAACATATATGGGTGTATCTGATACACTGTCACACCACAGTGGGCTTGTCTGATACACTGTAACTCCCATTATGGGCGAGTGTAATACAGTGTCATAACACACTGGGTGCGTCTGATACACAGTAACTCTCATTACGGGCCTGTTTGATAGTGTCCCTCCCAATGTGGAGCTGTAGAACTCAGTTGGAATGAAAAGCCTCAGACAGTGTTCCTGCAGGACTAGTTTCTCAGGGGCCAGGGCTAGTGGAGCACTATGTTAACATACTCACTGGTCAGAATATTTTGAATCCAATGAACAGCCCCTCCCAGTAGGGGGCAGTGTGTTTGGGGTTTGGCTAGAGGAGCAGCAGACAGAATTCCATCACCTTCCTTGACCTCCGCAGACCTCAATCCTGCTGGAGACCGGTGGAACCAGTGGAACTGTCCAGTTCGGTCCCCACACACCACCACCCATCTCACAACCCCAGCTGAAGGCTGTCCTGCTGCAGGAATGGGACGGGACTGGGTTGTGGATACTTCAGCTCTTTGAGGAGTCCATCAGGCCATGCCCTGTTTTTCTTTGATGGGGGGTCCTAATATTCTGGCTATTGAGTCCAGAAAAAGTTGGCTATGTGCTATTTATATAGTTAACCTTAACTATGGGGACTTATATTAATCTTAATGCAATGCAAAAATATATCCTGAGAGGCACTAAAAACACAGCAGATGCTGCAGCTCTTTGCCATGCTTGTCTGTTGCATTTTAATGCCTCTCATTGTTCAGTGGTGAGTTGTACAAACAATGTAATTCAACATCGTGCAAAGCCTTAATGGGTTTAGGAATGACATGCCTGAGCCTGGCAATCCATCCAGGGTGTAGTCCCAGCCTGATCCCCCAGCCTCACCAGGAGTAAGCAGCTTTCCGACAACGGATGGACAGAATGAAGGGATTTGGATGTTAATACAGGCCAGATGTTTAGAAATAACTGCTACACAGTGGTGTGGGGGTCAGCATTGCTGCCTCGCAGTGCTGGGGCAGGGGGTCCTGGGTTCGACTCCGGGGGTGCTGTGTGGAGTTTGCATGTTCTCCTCATGGAGTGTGTGTTTGCTATAGGTGCTCTGGTTTCCTCCCATTGTATGAAGCTGTGCTGGTTAATTAGCTTCTGGGAAATCTGGCCCAGGTGTGAGTGTGTGTATCTGTGACTGTGTGTGTCCTCTGATGGACTAGCATCCAGTCTGGGGTGTATCCTGCCTTGACAGGCTCCTGTATTGGATGAAGTGCTTTAGAAAACAGACGGATTATGCTGTAGCAGCCTCTTTTAGACTTTGCTGCATGCAGAGAAAGAAAGGTTTTGAGTCCCTGGCCTGGGTGTGTATAACCTACACCAGCAGTGTGCCTGCTCACCAGAGGCACTGAGCTTGTGTACAATCACCAGTCTTGGGGGTGGAGTCAACGTTACTTTGACATCTTTTTAATTAATTGTGTCCCCTAACGAGAAGGCATGTTTTTGCCCTTCCTCCCATTCGATGTCTTTAATCAACTCTTCCCTCACTGGAATAATCGTTGGCTTTTGCCTGCCTGGCTCTCCTGCTGCTGCCCTATTAGCTTTCTGTCGTGCCTCTCGAACCCGAAAGCAGGCAGCAGTTTCGCAGGATCAGAGGCTGGAGGCCGAGTCACGCCGGGGCTGCTGTCTCGTCTTCTTCGCCCAGAAGAGCAGACAGACCCTGCGCCGGCCTCTCCAGGGACGGTCCAAGAAAACGCCATTTAACAGTCAGCCCAGCACGCGCAGGCACAAAGCCTCCTGCGTCCTGTGCACGTATTAAAAATAGAGCTGCTGTTTTCGTTTTGTAAAGCTGTTTAAATGCAGGAAGTGCTGCTGCGGCTTGTCGGGTAGTAAACCTGGATTGACTTTTTGCAAGCTGATTGCTATTTGCGTAAGTAAGGGATTTGCTGTGCATGTAGAGCAGATTATTGGTATTTTGGCTGTCTGTGAAGACAGAGCCTGGCTCGGCCCTCCTCCCTGCACTGCTCTGAGCTGTGATCAGCGCCTGTTTCATCTCCAGGCATTTGCACAGGCTCCTTGTCTCTCTTTGTTGTCATGATCTGTTTTTCCATTGTGGTTTTCTGCACGTACGGCCTGATGTCAGCCCCCACCTCCCTGGCCTGGCCTTGTGGGAAACAGCCACAGTCCGGGCCCGATAAGGATCTGTTTGATCAGGGCTGGCTTCCTGGCCGTCTGGAGCGGCAAGATTGGAGCTGCTGTCCCCCTGGAGCCGGAGCAGAGCACTTCCTGCTGTCAGAGGCCGGAACGACAGTACTGTACCTGTGTGCTGTGCTGGGCCGGGGGGCACAGTCCATTGGAGACGCCCTGGCACTGGTCTGGGGCGAAGGGCAGTCCGGGCTGCTCAGGGAAGGCCAGGTGATCGTGCATGGGAGAGAGGCCCGGCAGACTGGGGTTTGAGTCTGGGGGGCTGTGCTGTACCTGGGGGGACTGTGCCGAGAGACAGACAGGATACCGTGTTATTACTCATAGGAAGCACCCACTTTATTTTCAGACAAATCTGTTATAAATCTAAATATACGCCAATGTGGTGGACTGGCGCCTCCTCCAGGGTGTATCCTGCCTGGAGCATGTTGTTTACCAGGTTAGGAACCTACCCTGCATTGTAGCAAACAGTTATTAAAGATGGATACATTGATGTACGCTGTATTTTGTCCTGCATATATTTTTTTATGGGCAGCACGGTTGAGCAGTAGTACACATTGTTGCCTCACAGCTGTGAAGTCCTGGACTGAATTCCTGGGGAGCTATCTGTGTGGAGTTTGTATGTTCTCCCTGTGAAAATTAGCGGCTGGGAAAATTGGCCCTGGTGTCAGTATCTGCGCATCTGTTGTCCCTTCCAGGGTGTACCCTGCCTTGTGCCTGTTGCTTGCTGGGATAGGCTCCAGCTCCCCCGTCACCCTGAATTGGAATAAGTGGTTAGAAAATGGATGGGTGGATGGGTACATTTTTATCATGCTGAATGCTCTGCATAAACAGCAAAGACAATAAAACAATTGGCTGCAAGTGAAGGAAAGCTGATTTCTCATGTGAGTGTATCATTAGATAGAATTAGGAGAAGTGTTTACTGGTTTGTTCACTCTCCCAGGCACCCTGGGGAATGTCATGCCCAGGCTGCCAGAATCATGTTGGTTACACAAATTCTGTATGTGGTGATAACAATCACAGGGAGACTGGGAGAACTATCTTGAATATAAGAAAGCTGACAGAAAGAGGAGCCATTTTCCACATCCAGTCCATTTGGTAGCTGATTGATCCAATAATCTCATTCATCTCTTTCTTGAAAGCAGCCAGGGTATCAGCTTTAACGTACAGTAGCTGGTCACCCGCTCTTTGTGTAGAGGAGAGCCTCCTGTCCTGTTTTGAATCGGCCTGGGTTTCAGCTTCGACAACATGGCTGGGCTGCTTGTTCCACACTCCCACAACTCTTTGTGTAAACAAGATCCTCCAGTTCTCAGGAACATACAAAGGAAAACTGAAATTCTGCATGGTGGTGTTGTAACAATAGGATCTTGGCACAGCAATCTCCCTGTAGGTAACATTTTCTCTCAACCATTTTCTCTTGAGCAGGGCCTGAGCTCTGCACAGGATGCTACACACTTGTTCCACAGGTTTTCTGATAGCCTATTTCAAGTGCATCAACTCAAAATGGCTCATTCATGCGATTTGATATCAAGCTATGTCTAAATATCCCAACTGTCTTTATGCATTTTCCGAGTTAAATATTTGGATTGCTGTGCTGTATTGTAAGGGAGAGGAGAAAAGCTGTGCCCTACCTCCTGTGTGGCGTGGCTGGGCAGGTAGAGGGCGGGCAGTGAGGAGTTGTAGGCGCTCAGGCTGGGCAGGCGGTGGCGGTCGATGGAGGCGGAGGAGTGGGGCCGCAGGGTGGCGGACGTGGGCGGAGGTGCCCGCATTGCCCGCCCCAGGCTGTTGGACTTGCTCTCTCGCCGCTGGTACTCGATGGGCGACTGCAGGGCTGTGGCACGGGGCAGGAGAGAGAAAACTGTGAACTTGCGCCCCTACCAGGAAATCGGGGGGTTTCCCCATACCCGCTTTCTGGGGATCCATGACAGTAGGGTCTCAACATTCACTTCGAAAACATTCACTTCGAAAACCATCACGAGTAGCCAGATTCACATATAACCAAGTCCAACCCTACACCATCACTATATACTGTACCCCTATACACTACAGAGTGCAGTCTGTAAGGGTAAAAACAAGTAACCCTCCCTTATATGATCATTAAAATAATAATGCATTGGCGTCAAGTTAATTTAAGTAACACTGACTAAAACAAAAAACAGTGATCACAAGCGTATAGCAATCAGATCAAATAAACAACATGAATCCCTCCTCGGCGTGTAGCGGATGCCTGCCCTTTCTCTCTCTGCCTGTGTGATCAGCACGCCCCACTGTAATGAAACGGGCAATAAAACCGTGAGAGAGCCTGTTCGGTCATCTCCAGCCTGTCACACTGCTGACACAGAACCTGGAGCGTCTGTTTCAATGTAGAAACAAGAGCGCGCTGAGACCTGGATGCTGGGTAGTGGGTGCTTGGGCCCGGGGGCAGGGAGAGGCTCACTCACTAGCGGGAGTTGCCTCACGATCCTCTCTTGCACTGCTAATTTGAAAGTTGTGCTTAGCAACCTCCTCTTCTTCCTTACAAGACCCCGTTGGCCAGACCGAATCGCTAATAAGCAAATTTGCAAATGTTAAATTCACAGATGTTGAGACCCTGCTGTATTGAAAAAAACAATGAAAGACACCCAGGGGCGCCCCCGATGCAGTCACCCCTGCCCCCTTCTCCCCGCAGAAGCTGCTCTTTGGTTTAAAGAGCTGAGGGGTCACACACGTCCCTCTGGAAGAACACACACCGCAGTGGGTCCTCCAGCAGACTTGTGCACAAAGGTCTCTAATAATCGATCAATTGGAAAGAGATTCGGGGCTGTGGTTAATTTGTATTCCCTTAGCAGGGTTGCCAGACATCTTCAACCAGGGGAGAAAAAGCATTAATTACCGGCCTGATTACTAGGTCGGTAATTAGAAGCTGGGCTGCAGTGCAAACAAGCAAGCTGCAGCTTGGCTGTGGGTTTATCTCTCTGTGTCCTGTGTGTTTATTCTCCAGTGGGCTGTGGGTTTATTCTCCAGTGTCCTGTGTGTTTATTCCCCAGTGTCCTGTGTGTTTATTCCCCAGTGTGCTGTGGGTTTATTCCCC